ACACACACACACACACACACACACACACACACACACACACACACACCTCTCTCTCCCTGTCTCTCTCCTTCTCTCTCTCTTTTTTTCTCCCACTCAGGATAACATTACAGTTAATAGTCATTAGGCCCCAATGACTGTGATAGCATCTCATATTTTTCTTGTTTTTGATAATCGTGACACTTTTGAAGATCATATATTTTATTTATTTATTTATTTATTTATTTATTTATTTATTTATTTATATATACCAGGGATTGAATTCATGGGCACTCCACCACTGAGCCACATCTCCAGCCCTATTTTGTATTTTATTTACAGACAGGGTCTCACTGAGTTGCTTTGTGTCTCACTGTCTCTGAGGATGGCTTTAAACTCTTGATCCTCCTGTCTCAGCCTCCCAACCTAGTGGGATTACAGGTGTGTGCCACCATGCCCAGCTCTAGGTCATGTTTCATAGAAGCAGTGGGATTTTGTTCAAAGTTGAACTGGGCTTGTGAATTTTGAAAGAACTGACCACAGAGATAACAGTGCTATTTTTTATTACATGGTATGAAGAATTCATATTATCAATATGACTTATTATTGAAGATGTTAATTTTAATCATTTAGCTCAGACAGTATTTGTCAGGTTTCTCCACTGTGAAGTTACTGTTTGCTTGCTCCACTTTCCATACTGTATTCTCTGAGAGACAGTTACTATGCTCTGCCCATACTTAAGAAGAACGAAGCAGTTACATCCTCTTCTTAAGAGCAGAGTATCTTTATAAATTATTTGGTATTTTTGTGCACTGGTCACTGTTTTTTCACTTATTCATTTAATAATCTATATTGGTTGTACTCATGTACAATTATTTGATAATTTATAGTCCAGTATTACTTTATTTTTTTTCCCGAATTTTTATAGCTTTGGCTACTGGTAATCTTTTAACTTGGCTCCTGTCTTTCTTTAACATGTCTCCATTGTTGTGCCTTTTAATTAAAAAAAATATTTTGAGCAATTTCTTACTTTCTGGCACTACAAGGAATTCCAGATTCATCTTGTATATTTTCTGGGCCAGTTCTAGAATCAGCCACTTTGCCAAAGTGCTTTGATCCCTTTTTGCTGAACAATGATATTAGAAATCAAGATTGGGGTATTAGATGTGCTCCTTGTTACTGGGATGTGTTGCTTTTAAGCCTTTTCAGCTTCTCAGTACAAGGAGATACATGCACATATGTAATGCTGTGCACATTATGAAATTTGTATATTTAATGTATGTCAAACTAACATTTTTACTGATGTCCCAACTTCAATAAATCACTATCTGGGTCTTTACTTATCCTCTCCCCTTGCTTATCAGCAACTTTTCACTTCAGCACTTTCAAATTTCAATCCAATTATCTTCCCTCCAATTGCTTAATTATTGTTTAATTAAATAAAACAATTGTACATAGCACCATACCTTGGTTAAGTAGTTTACCACAGAAGCATGGGTGAACAATTTGCTGCTGGTGTTTTTGGCATCTTATCCAAGAAATCGTTGTGAAACTCAACGAATCTCTCCCCCCAAGTTTTTTTCTAAGAGTTTCACAGTTTCAGGTCTTATATTTATGCCTTTACTCCATATTCAGTTGATTTTGTTATTGTGTGAGATAAGAGTCCAATTTCATTGTTTTGCATGTGTATGTCATTGTTTCCCACTACCATTTTGTTGAGGAGACAAATCTTTCACCATTATGTTCTTGACACCCTTGTTGAAGATCCCCTGGCTGTGTCTGTCTGTGTGGGTTTCTTTCTCAACTGATACTATATAAATAGAAAAGATCATTAGAAACAATTATGAATGACATGCCACCAATTCAGATAGCCTAGAAGAAATGAACAAATTAACAAATTCTCTAGAACTTACTCATGAAGAGATAGAAAACCAGGAGAAAAGAGCAATGAATAAGGAGATTGAATCAAAGACAGAATCTCCCAGCAAAATAACACCCAAAGATGAGATGTCTTCACTCGTAAATTCTACCTCAAACATTTAAGGAATTAACACCAATGCATTTGAATAACTTTCAAAAATAGAAGAAAATAAAGCACTTCCAAATCTATTTTATGAGCCCAACATTACACAATCACTATTATTTTAAAATAATAGAGTTTTTTTAAAGGTCCATGTTGGGTTCTGTTTGGATATAATTAATCTGTAGAAAGTTTTTCATGGTGTATGATATAATTGGAACCAAGATAAACAGGCTCTTTTTTTGTGGCTTTATGTAATCTCCTCAGGAGTTGAGCTGTGTTGAAGATTTCTGTACATGTAGGCAACAGTTGTGTCCTAATTCTCATTTTCACATTCTGTTATTTACTTTGGATTGAACCTAGTGTTTCTCCTCTGGAGTCTCTTTCAAGGTAAGTCACTTTTTAATCTTGTGTTATAATATAACCACTTTGGTGTTTGGTATAATACAAAATACTTGTATTTTGCTCTATAAATTTCAGATTTATTCTCATTCCTTTGTGGCATGGGTCCTTCCATTGGGTGTAGTACTCTTGTTTCTTCATTGTATAATATTTTGCTCCCTTAGGTGAGACAGCCAGGCTAGCAGGCCCTGAAGGTGTAGGGGGTGAGTTTCCTTCTTCAGCAGAGCCAAAGTTCTGCTGAAGTCCCTCCCCTTGGAGAGCATGTCTTTATTAAGAAAAAGACTGTGAGGTTTTTGTAAGCATTCTTTTTCTCCTGCCAATCATAATGGGAACTTTCTTGGATCTTTACTGAGATCCTTTTATAAAACCTGGGGGTAAATCTATAACAGTGTGAGAAGCTTTCTAAGATAAAGCTGCCAGAGTCTTTCACTGTGATACTTGTGGATTTTCAGCCCCAAGCAGTTCACCAAATTACCACATAAGTGTTCCTACCAGTTTGTGGCTCCAGTAACTTCTGATCTAGTTAAGCAGATCTCAGCTCTGACTCTCTAGGTTTCTGTCTCTCCACCTTTTGGGGTGACATTTTTTCCTGAGACCTTAGTCCTCTGATGGGTCAAGAAAGTAATTGGTTTTTCAGTTCCTTGAGTTTTCTTGTGAAAAGGGAACTGATGACTTCCAATCACTTTATGTGTCAGAGCTAAAACTGGCAGTCTCATATTTTTCTTTTAAAGATTTATGTGGCCAGATGTTTACCCAGACTCTCAATACAAACATCTGTAGCCATTTAGGCAGTTTAACAAAATGCTAATAATTTCCTTTATGTATTCAGAGCAAATGACCATCTGTGACTGCTGTGGTCAATTAAATTGTATATGGTCACTATGTGTGGCAAATTCTGAGTTCATGTAGAAACTAACTTTTTGTTCTTCAGTCTTGAGTTCATGTGGTTTAGCAGCTATCATAAACATCTTAGTTAAATTTTCAAAATATCCAGATTACAGCTGTGGTAGTCAGAGTCCTAATTAGCTCCTTTGATTCCAAACATGCTTATATACATGCTCTGAGTAATTCCTCTCCCAGTGAGAGGGACTTGTCATGTGATGAGATAGCCTTTCTATGATTATATCACACTATATGACAGAAGAGACTTTTAAGATGTAATTAAGGTTCCCAATCAGTGACTCTGAGTTAATCAAAAAAGAGATTATCCTGCTTTGATTTATTTTAATCATATGAGGCATTGAAAAGGTCAAAAAGATTCAAGGCAAGAGGGATTCTTCCTGCTGACCTTGAAAAGACAAAGTCCCCTTTGGGAATTACCTATTGAGGGGGCTACATGGCAAGAAATTGATGGTGATTGATTTCTAAGGCTCAGAGTTTTCTTTAACATATGGAGAAAAAAAGGAGTATTCAGTTCCTATAGTCACAAGGAGCTAAAGTCTTTAAACAACCAGTAAGTTTGGAAGAGAACTTTGAACCTCCAATACAAATACAATCCTCACAAACACCTTGATTTCAGCCTAGAGAAAACTGCTGGGAATGGGTCTCAGCCAACCCATAATGGGTTTTGAGTCTTGGAAACTGAAATAATGAATGTATGCTGCTTCATACTGCTAATCTGTAGAAAATTAATAGAAAAAGCTGGGGGAAAATGAACAATGTCAAAGTATTTGATTATTTTGTTAATATTAGCCCTATTGGAAACATACTCAGAATTTAGATCTAGTAAAATTAAATTCCATTTTTTATTCTTATAATTAACTTACTTAAATATAAGACAAATCTATAGACACACATAGGTGTGTTGCCACCTTCAGTGGGCTGTGATTTCCATGTGGTCAATGCAACCAAATAACATGGGATTACCCAGCAGCACTACAAAATTCAAGCATTGAAAATTTATCAGTTTGATGCTAGCTGTTGGCAGGCAGGTAGCAAACAATTCCAAGATCTGTATTTGTTTCACAGTATTAATTTGCTTAACTGTAATTTTAAGAAGAATAAATATGATAGATCTGTGTGTACCTAATTAGCATACAAAAGTGTTAATTAATATGTCAAAAAAAGACCAAATAGATAAAGACTAGAAATCTTTCACTGAGAAGTAAAATCGCAAAGAACACCAAAGAATAAATAATGAGAATAAAAGAGAAACACTCTGATTAATCAAATGAAAAAAATTACTTGTGAAAAATTAATGCTTAAAATGCAAAGAACTAAAGAGGAATATGTGTTGAACTGTGAGAGTTGTGTTGTTTACTTTCCCGTCACCTTGTTAGGTCTGCCTTCCTGTGATTTTTCATCTGGAACTATTTGAGTTTCAACTTTCATAGTTGTAATAAGCCATTATTCTATGTAGTTAGCGTTCCAGAGCCAGAATTTGCTGTTTTCAAAAGTCTAAAGTTAAATTGTCAAAATTTGAATTTTTACCTTCTTATGTACAGCTCCCTGAGTATGAGATCATGTTTATCATGAATAAGATAAAATGGTACTGTACTATATTTTTATATAATATTCTTAATATTTTAAGAGAGAAATTCAGAAATAGAAACAAATATCCATCTTATTATGTAAATTGTCATAATCTTTTTATTGTAATAGAGAGAGATTTTAAAAATCATCCCCACTTAAAAAATCTTTAGTACAGTGGACTTGTTTCAAAAGTTGTTCATATGGGCTGGGGATGTGGCTCAAGCAGTAGCGTGCTCGCCTGGCATGCGTGCGGCCCGGGTTCGATCCCCGGCACCACATACCAACAGAGATGTTGTGTCCTCCGAGAACTAAAAAATAAATATTAAAAATTCTCTCTCTCTCTCCTCTCTCACTCTCTCTTTAAAAAAAAAGTTGTTCATATTTCTGTTTTTCTGAATGTATTCCCAATTTGTTATCATTTTCTTTGTGGTTCTATCCATTGAGGTTTTAAGACTCCTCAAATTCTCAAAAAAGGATGCCTATCTGCCTCGCTATTTGAGACCCAAATTTCTGTGTACAACCTTTTTGTTGGTTGAAAATTACTTCTCTACCAAATCCACTGTGAACTGTGGTCTGAATTCTTCCTTACCATCTCCCATTTTAAGAGTCTACATAAAATGCAGGCTCTTTGGACACTTTTGTCTTCCTGTATCTTCAGTAACTCCTCTTCAGTCTCTTGTTAACTCTGTCTCTGGTATCTGCTGTGCATGACCTCCTTTAGATTTGGGGGAATCCTTTAAGTGTCACTTGCTTTATTCTCTCTCTCTCTCTCTCTCTCTCTCTCTCTCTCTCTCTCTTTATCTGCTCATCACTTCCTACTTGATTATATTGTGAGTCACCAAGGCATCACAACATGTGGTATAATTTTTTTTGCTCATGTTATTTTTATGTTTCAGTACTACATCAATTCTCTTTTACTCCTTTTCTTGTCTAGTGGATAATGTTTAAGATTTAAAGTTAAGGTGTTTTTTATAATAATAGGTGTGATATTTATTGCTGTATACTATTGGCATATTCTTATCTATCTTTATTAAATAACATTTTAAACACCTGAAAAGCCATGAACTTATACTGAATATGAATGAGAAAATAGAAAGTCTTTATATATCTAACAAAGAAGAAGACTGCTGATGTTTCCCTTTTTACCTGAAATATTTTTGTTCAGTTAAAAATGCTCCAGTTTTCTTTTTTAAAGCTAATGAGCCAACCTCCTGATGTCTTTTAGGTTCCCTCTAAAATAAAGAGGAGACAATTTGTTATGGGTGTAAATAATCATTGACATATATTAAGTATGCTTCTTTCCTGAAAAATCTGTATAATAAATCTTTATTTAAATCATACTGCAACAACTCCTAAACTACTTTTCTACTTCATAGCCCTTTCTTCTTTTGTGTACAAATTGGTTTGTAATGAAATAATTGGACTAATTTTGCAATCAGGGAAACTAGAATTTATTTTTTTAATGTCATAAGGTATTATAAAAGAAAACAGGTTCACAGAGGAATCCTGCATTGAGAATCTACTTACAAACTTTGAATTACCATCACTGTGCCATAGGTGAACTCGGTGCTCAAGTGCCAGATTTGGAAACCACTTTTCAACATCTTAAAGAATTCCCTTTTTCAAAGCAGTGACAGTGAATGACTTGTGAGATGACATGCTCTGCTAAATAGAATCAGTGTGCATTTTCTTCCAAATAAATTATCCAATGTACAGTAAAAATAATTTTTTAAAATAAATTAGAATTTCAAAAAGGAGTTGTGGTATTATGGGTTGAAACATAGAGACAAATTAATTTTTTGACATCATTATTATATTAGTGCTAATATCTTCTTTAGATGTACAATTTAATATTAAAGATTTGTAAATGTTTATTTAAAGATGATAAAAAATGAATATGTATGTTGTATCATTATGTTACATTGCTATATTGAATGAGAACAACTGTGCTTCACTTGTTTGATATGGTCATGGTGTTTTGAAAATGTTTTTAAATTGGTAATATTCTACTAAATTGCAAAGTGATGTCAGTAGGGGGCATGTATTATCTGTTTGAATTAAACTACCATGAAAACATACAGAGAATCTTCATATATCAATGAAAGCAATCTAATCATCAAGGAATTGTTTTACCCAAATGTTGTAACTACTATTAAAAGTTGTGAGCCATTCATGATGGCATATTTCTGTAATCCTAGTGTCTTGGGAAGCTGAGGCAGGAGATTGTGAGTTCAAAGCCAACCTCAGCAACTTAGTGAGGCCCTAAGCAACTCTGTGAGACCCTGTCTCTAAATAATATAGAAAATAGGGCTGAGGATGTGGCTCCATGGTCGAGTGCTCCTGAGTTAAAACCCTGGTACCAATAAATAAATAAATAAATAAGCAAAAAATTATATTATGATCAATTTGAAATATTTGCACAGTTCTTACTAGTTATTTGTTGTCAGGTGAATAAAAGGACTGGCAGAGTTATAGATTGAACAGTTCAGAGAAAAATAATGCAATCAAATAGCAGTGACATTAAAATCATCATTGTACAATGATAGTAAAAGCAATATCTGCTATCAACTTCTTGAATATTTATGTGTATGTTACTGAGTATAGTGTTTCTGGTGGTGTTCTGATCACTTTCTAAGGGTAAAATCATTTATTTCCCACAATAATATTATGTAGTAGTTATTATTTTCCAACTTATAGTCGATAAAAAACTCGATACAGAGAGAAATCAAATAAATACAAGGAAGCACTTAATACCATCAACCCAAGATGGCTCACATTGGCCTTTCTTTTCTCTCATGCAGCAGACAGACTAGCTGGACCTGCCTGATCTTTGTTTTATGCATAGATTTCTAGCATGTAATGGGCTTGCTGAGGATATTCAACAAAGATTTATCATGACACGCAACTGAATCAGTAAGGGTCACTCAAGGTGAATTGGGCTGTCTACTAAATAACCAAACAGAGACAGAAAATACCTTTTTTGGGGTGTTCAGTGATGGCTCTTCAACCTTGGCTTCCACAAGGGAGGCAAGAAATATAGGCAAAGAGAGAGAGCACACCTGAAACCTATTTATTGAGGGGGAAGACACTGGAGAAAGTTCAACCCAAATAAGGCAAGGGATTGGGTTTCAGGAGGATGTAGCCCAGTCCTACTGGTTGACACCCACTCCCAGAGCTGTAATTCCTTGCTTAGGGAAGGTGAGGTCCACCTGCTTTGGAGCTGTGATTGAAAGTCAGTTCTACACCTTCATTGCTCAAGGCTAAGGGCATGTGCTTAGCTCCGACATGCTCAGCTGCTGTTCATTGTGGTCCCAGACAAAGATTCATGTGAACAACATAATGGTCTCACTGGACAAGAGAAATCATCCTTTAGTTAGATGTCCATTATGAACACTCACGCTTTCTCTGTCTCTCTCTGTCTCTCTCTGTCTCTCTCTCTCTCTCTCTCTCTCTCTCTGTCTGGGCCTTGGGACATGTTCATTCACACATGGCCAAGGGATCAGATAATCTGTGGAACTATTGAAAACTAGGTTATTGTTCAGGAAGTTACACTATATAAATAATACAAATTAAAGCAAGCATATACTACTACTATTAATAACAGAAATATCTCTTTTAGTAAAATAATAGTAAGTTATGTATTTGGTGTTTATACCTCACCAAATAGTTCTCAAATTGATTATTTATATAACTAGTAAAGCAATATTATTGAGCATATTTTATTACTGTCCTAACTTTGAAAAAAGGAGCTAATTTTCCAGGAGATGGGTCACACAGCCAGAACTTAGTAAAACCTAGTCTTGTCATTCCTATCTTTTAGTAACAAATCCCCCTGAGATTTACTAGTTTAAAACAGTATGGTTGATTCGTCAGGTCCATGATTTGGGCTGAATTCCATTGGTCATGTTCAGACTTTCTCCAGTATGTACAGTCAATTGCTGGTCAGCCAGGTAGCTCTGAAGGTTGGCTGTTGGTGAGCTGAAATGAAGGGGAGGGACTGAGCCAGTATCTCTCATCTAACAGTGTTCTAAAATGAGTAAAAGGAAAAATGCTCCAATGTTCCTTCACTTTTCCAGTTTTTGCTTGTATCTCATTTCTGTTATCTCATTGGTCAAAGAAAGTGACATGGCCAAGTTTAGTGTAGGTGGTTGCAGACCACCCAACAACATTGGTAGAAAGAGATGTGAATTGCTTGAGGCCATAATTGTAACAATCTACCAAACATACTTAAAGGATAAAGCCCCTCCAGTTTGATAGGTCCTATGACAGTTATTTCTAAGGGCACATTGATTATTGATTCAAAAAGAAATGAAAGTGTAAAATCTTTCAAAGCTTATGGAGAGAGTGTGGTGTAATATAACAGTCATTTAAATCTCAAGCTATAAATCTCTAAAGATTTTTATAACACATTGTTCCTGAGAATTGTTCTTTCAAGAGATGAATTTTCTCATCAAAAATGTTTAGAAAATGCTTATATTCCTGTTTATATTATCCTGGGATTACACATTAGCATATATAATAGTTATTTGTGTCACCTTTTGACTGCACAGACATTTGATTAAATATAATTCTGGATGTGTCTGTAAGGATATTTCTGGATGTGACTAACATTTGAAAGAGAGTGCCTTTATTAATGTGGGGTGGGATTCTTATCCCATCACCTGAAGAACTAAATATGACAAAAAGAGGAAATATTTCCTTTCTGACTGCTCAACTGGAATATCAGTTTTTTTTTCAGCTCTTGAATGCAAAGTGAAAAATTGTCTCTCATTGGGTCTTGAGGCTGCCTGATTTCAAATTTTAACTTACACATTGGCTTTCCTGGTACTTAGGACAAAATGAAATGGCGCAGTGTACTTTTCTTGCATAGAAGTTTCTAAGCAAAGCAGAGCTTTCAGTGAGATTCTTCTGAGCTGCATCTTTTTTTTTTTTTGAGAAAGGCTGATTACTAGATGGAAGATTTATATGTTTGATAAGAAGATAATATAATAAACAATAGTAATGACAGTCCCATATAGTTCTCGGTCATCCTTAAGTTTCAGAGCATGTGTTACCTCATTTATAACATAACTCATGGATAAAAAAGCAGGACTTTTAATATGGCCACATAGTCACAAACTACTAGAAAGTTCTACTGGTTGACAGATCAACTACTCGAAAGCAGAAAGAGTGTCATGAATACCTTGTCCTTACAGATTCAGAATATGAGGTTGATAAAGAACAAATAACATGGACAAAATGGGTCACTCTGAAATATTAAAATAATAGTTTTGGGTTAAATTTTTTTATTGCATCTAATAAGTAAAGATTACATTAAATATCCCTTACTCTAACAAATCCCAAAAATGGAAACTTCAACACTTTGGTGTCTGGGTGAAAGTGATTTCATTCTTTTCCCTTAATGTTCTGTGCCTCCCATAAAGTTTATTTTAGCTGGAACCAACTAATGTCATATATATATATAAAATCATTATTATACTACTTCTCCAGTTAGTTTATAATTAATAGAGGATTCTGTCATTTTTCTCACCTTTTGTACATTGTGAGCTCTTAGCACAAGGATGAGGAAGCTAGAAAAACTTTTGGCTATAACAATTCACTATCAATGTTCATTGCAGCTCAAGTCACAATAGCTAAATTGTGGAATCAACCTAGATGCCCTTCAACAGATGAATGGATAAAAAATTGTGGTATATATACACAA